GTAGCTCGGCTTTCCTTGTGCACATCATCATATAAACGATGCATTTTGTCCATTCTAACTACTAATGTTGATGCGCATTCTGAAAGTTGTTTACCATTGTAGTTCTCTATGTTACAGCATTTCCCCGTTGCGTACTTTAATTTTGCACCGAGTAGAGAAATTTTGTTCTTGCTGGGTCTTCGCTATTACCTCAACATTTTATGGAGACAAAAGTGACCAGCAAACAGGGCAGGTGGAAATAAAAAAAACACGATCAGAGATTGTGCGAGAAGGCTGAAGCTCGTTTTTGTGCAAATCATTTGTGCATGGTGCTATTATGATAAACTGTACACCAATAAAATGAACGTTGATGTCCTTTTGCCTAGCCCTGTTTTACAAATTGTGAAAATGCTCATGATAATGAGCGTTTGCACAAGGAAATGCAAATACATGCTTTAAACTGTTTCTTGAATAAGGGAGTTTTTTATCAATTGTCATTAAATTAACTATGTGCCTTCACTGCGCTGTTCTGCTAATTCGTAGTCACTTCATTCCGTGACTAAGGGACAAACTTTGCTTTCTATAGCCTTTGTCAAGCATTCACCTCCACAAGCACAATAAGAGACGTGTATGTTATGATACACACAAAAACAATGTTTCTAGAACATTATTCTTAATAATTGGTAAGAGATTGATGCTTCTTATGAAGGTGTAGATTGGGGTGAACCAGCGCGAGGTACTTATTTTGCAAATTCAAAATACTTGTCTTGCGTTGGCGCCGAAGCATTACAGTGCAGAATGAACTTGGAGGACAGCGCTACTTTTTGAAGCCCTAACAGCAACTCGCGAAGTGAGTACCTGCAAGCGCGACGAACCTACACGCGTCGAAGCCAACGGCCCATCTCGCAAGCGTGAGGTCACAGCGGCGTTCGGACGTCTTGATATTTTTTCTAGGTGGCTTTGGCTCATACGGGTTTCGGTTTCGGTGTGGCGCCTTGTTGCTTATTGAAAAATATTCTCAAACTTGCTGAGCATTTCAGCTGTTGGGCGTGTTACACTGAGAGTGTGTCAGGAACGCTGAACCGCCAATCGCTGCATAGTAGAAAATTCCTGGAGTTGCCCTTTAACGTATCCACTAATGCTTGGCAGAAGCATGTCATTCTGCAGGCTTCGAATGTCAATTGAGAAACAACAGCACGTTTGAAGGCCCATCCTCTACAAAGCACTACATGCTTATTCATCATCGTTATAACCAGCAGCAGCAACAAAGTGAACAGCTGCGTAGGCATGATGCGTAATATAGGCCCCACGCTTATTCGCAAAACGAATACTTATAGCGCGTTGGCCACTTAACTGAGCTTATGCTAGACACTGAATGATACTTTGAAATGGCCAATCTCCCACGCACAAGTCACTCATTAACTTACAGCACGGTTAAGCACTCACCAAGAACCGAAGCACGCCACGAGTTCAGGAGTAAATGCGCACAAGGCCAGATTACAGTATTGTGATCTGCTCTCGAAAGCTAAATTCAAGCGCCATCTCGGTTCTTTTTCTTCAGTCATGTGAAATCATGCTTCATTCAATAACACCACAGCGATGCCCGATGCATTTGATTTAATTTTATGATTACGTTGTAATTACATTTTTCTGTGTGCACAGGCACCAGAGGAAGTCTTGCGAGAGAGGTGCGAAACGAATGTTCTGACTTCTGTCTGGTGGGCATGCAATGACCAGTGAGTTGAAGGCAGATTTTTGTTTTGTCGGCCTGCAAGGAAAGACCTTAGCCCAGAAGACACATATATTGAAGAGAGATTTCAGGTTACCCGGCTTAGTTCAAGTTCATTTTGATGATTAGGAATCATAATTGCTCGAGTTAAACGTCCCGAAATCAAGATATGAATATAAGTAACGCCATAGTTGTTGGAAGGCTCCGGAAATTCTGACAAAGCAAAGTTTATTAACGAGCGCCTGAATCTCCGGAAATTTTGACAAAGCGAAGTTTATTAACGAGCGCCTGAATCTTAGCACACATCTGTCGAACTTTTCGCCTCCATCAAAACTGTGGCCGCTGCGGATGGGATTTAATCCTGTGACCTTCTGGTCAGCAATTGAGCACAAGCACCATGGTTGCACAAGCACCACCGTGACGGCTGTGTTTTGTTATTGAAGCAGTCTAACATCCATTCTTCTCTTTCACCTTGTATAACATACAAAGTGCTATTATAAATAGAAGCGGACGGTCAATATAAGTGCTTTTTTTGACAATGAACGTCATTTGCGAACTTCAAAAATAATCGTTAGGCAGGCTTGCTGGTACACGCACATAGTTATTCAAAACAGCGCAGAAGCGCAAAACCAGCAAGGAAGCAATTTGGCGCTACATTGCAGATCATGTAATTGCACGCCGAATTTCAATCAAATCACCGTTTTCAGTAGGCATTCAGACGAGCGCACGCCTGAGATCATTGAATAATCACAATTGTCAAGTGGGGCCTCTTAAATCAGTTCACCGTCCGTCCAGTTGCTTGACGAGGAAGTCACATATTTGCAAGATTAACTGCTTGAAAATTCTGTAACCAGTACTCAATATTCTATACCGTTAATCACGTTCTCGCTCCAGTATTTTTTTGCCATATACGTCACATTCGCGCAATCTAGCCCTGTCAGAAGTCGGCACTTGAGTTGTGTGGGTCTCCTCAGGGTCCCGTTTACGCGATGTTTGGAATAACTCATTGGTGAGTTCAGCACTTCTCCTGTACACTCCTTTACTTCGACCTCCATTTTGTACCGCGGCATTTCAAAACGCTCTGTGGGAAAAAAAATAGCAAGTTGCAGGTACGTAGGAAAAAAGTGTCGATGCTCAGTCGAATGAGATAACAAGTTTCTCAATTACACTTTGTAAATTGTGCATGCAAGCTTGTTACATGCGTAGTTTGCGCACGTTACGTACGTCAACACCTTAGAAGTGTGCGAACGATATTGGCGGTTTGGCGAGGGCTGATTATAATGACTCGATCACACTCTTGGGAACTTCCACACGTGAATAATCGAACCTCCGAGTATTCAGTTCATTCCGTATAACGAGTGTGCCACCTACACAGAGGCCCCGCCGCGGTGGTCTAGTGGCTAAGGTACTCGGCTGCTGACCCGCAGGTCGCGGGCTCGAATCCCGGCTGCGGCGGCTGCATTTCCGATGGAGGCAGAAATGTTATAGACCAGTGTGCTCTGATTTGGGTGCATGTTAAAGAACCACAGGTGGTCGAAATTTCCGGAGCCCTCCACTACGGCGTCTCTCATAATCATATGGCGGTTTTGGGACGTTAAACCCCACATGTCAATCAATCACCTACACAGAGCTCATTCGCGCTATCTGTCAGTCCTCCTAGGTGAGCGTCAGCGAGCTTGCCTGTAACTTTCACAATTCCCGCAGCACATGCTCATCCTCAAGATGCGTTGTCGGTGCTGCGAAGTACACAAAACCACCGAAACTCGCTCATCTTGTTCATGACCTTGCGCAGAGTAGAAAATGTCGTTCCTCGAGCGGGCAGCAGATGGGCCGTGTATGTGATGAGCGAAAATGCGTGGTTTAGTTTATGGCGGCTGCTCATGCTTAGGAATTTCCTCTAAAAATCTTTCAAATGGGTCTTCTAGAAGTTACCGCGTCAATTCTATTAGCGAAGTCTGCGTAGCAAAGCGCAACTCAACAAAGTGTGGCGCGCGGCGCAATTTGGCACAATTTAACCAGGTGTTTTATGAACGTCCTTCACAGTATGAAAAGTTCAATTCATATATTTTCCCTCCACAATCTTCTAGAGTTTTAGGTGCTCCAATGCTGGCCCACAAGTTGCGGGATCGAATCCAAGACCACGGTGGCCGCATTTTCAATGGAGGCGCATATACTAAGGGCGCGCGTGCTCTGATTGAAGTAAACTGTAAATAACACCAGGTGGTCACAATTTCTACTACCCTGCCCTACGGCGCTTCTCGTGTAATAGTACCCCGGTTTTGAGAGGTTAACCCTCAACAATTGCTTCGCGAATTTTTTCTCCTCAGTTTCAGTCAACTTGACCTAGGCTATTTTAGGGTCTTCGCTAAGCCAGCCAGGTTGGATCACGAATGCGATAACGTGCACGGCAACGTCAGAGCAGCACGTAGATTAAGATACGACACTGAAATAAGCAACGAGGTCCATCGTAACGACGTTGTTGCCATCGGAGATAAACATGACACAGTACGAAACATGAGTCAGTATTGCGCTCAAAGGCAAAGAAACGGGGGGTGGAATTGCAAATACTTTTAACAACAGTTTGAAAAGCCAAACGTAGTTGGTGTGGTTGCTTCTCGGGAACGGTGCCGGACTTTTTACACTATCATTACGAAAAAAGGGCCGAAGGAGTTCTCTGCATGTTGACCGAATCGTCCCCGTCAACTTCTATTGTGAATTGCTGAACAACAAACGCAACACACTCTACTGCTGCTGAAGCAGTGACGGGTCACAAGCATCCGCACTGCGGGACTTCGTTCGCCGATGGGCACCTCTGTTTAATCCCGTGCCTAAAATAATAGAAAAAACTATAGGAACGTTGGCGTACATTCACTGGAATGAGAAGTGGCAAAAGCATGACGAACGAAAAAGGAAGAGTGGCATTGTACACTTTAAGAAAAAAAAGTAAGAGTCGTTGACTCGTTTTTGAAAGTTCCGGTTTGACACGTATATAATATTCTACGTGAATTACCTTTTGGAATTCACTACGTTCTTTTCAGAGCATCTTGTGCCTCACAACAGATCTAATGCGTCTTCATAAACATAATCGCATAGGTGGCAAATCAGCATTCACCGAAAGGGCTTCGCACACTCTTCTCTTGTTTTCTAGGCTGTAAAATGTGCATCATGTAGTATTTCCGTACGGTTTTTCTGTTACTCACTAAAATACTCATGCACCATCATTGTCACTACGTTCGACTCACGCGTTTAATTATCGCAGTATTGTCGCGGTTCGTCAATTCTTTTGTCGCTGTCAGGCAACGTTTGACGCCGCCTTTGCGGCCGCTGCCGCCACTGCCCTTGCAATGGCCGCTGCCCCGGCCTTGGCCCTGGCCTCAGCCGCCTTCTCTGTGGCCTCTTCTTCCTGGGCCTTAGCCAGCATCTCGGCCTCCTCCTGGGCCACCTCGCCCTCGGCCTGCTCCTCAGACTGGCCCTTCTTCACCGTCTCTCGCGCTTCCTTGATGGCGAAGAATTCGTACGTAGTGCATCTTCCTCTTCTTCTCGAATTCCAGTTGGCGTTCTGTGAAGGCATTTTGCGCGCAATATAAAATCTCAAACACGCGCTATCGCATTGACGAGAAATTTACATATGTGCATGTGGGCCTCTTCTGCCGCAAAAACAACAAAAACAAAACGCGAGTCTTCGGAGGTCATACGTAGAAGTTTTGGACACACACCCTATAATGACGGTTTCATGATGTCGAGGCAGCATAATCTCGCGACGAGTAACTTGTTTTAGAGCAATAACGACGTCGCCGGGACGTTGATCGGCAGATGTGCACGAAGAATTCACTAGCTTTCTTCTAAATTCATTTGAATTGACTCGGAGGCGAAAGAGTTTTTTTTTCTCAGTCAGCGTACTTTATCCTGCTCCTCACCACTGCAAAAGCTTTCTTCTCATAAGGTTATCGAATTTCCTCAAACGTGGTTTGCTAATTTATTTTCTCTTCAAATTGCAATTTACTTCATTTTCAGCTACCAAGAATTACGTAGGCCGTAGCAGAACTTTTTAAAGCCCGTGACGTAACGACGCTTCACGCGGAACATGAAAATGGCGTCACCAGCCACGTTCTGTTCTCGCACGTACTCTCACTCACTACTCTTATTTTGTCTCGGCAAGCGCTTTTTCTTTGGTATCGTGAAAGAATAGTTTACCAGTACGAGCGAAAGCAATTTTCTGTTTTGGCGTTATTTTGAACACCAGCCTCTACGAGCTCTTCAATGCTAATTATGTGTTGACCTTAGATGCGGCCGACTCTGTACAAGAGTCCTGCAAATTTTCGTGAGCCACAAGCGACACTTTTTTGTTATTCTTCAGATCGAACACTAACCTCTGGTTTCTTTCATGATCATAAAAGTGGCACGAAATGGGTACTTTGAGTCAAATATAACATTTACATCGGATACGTATGAAATGGGTGCATAAGTCCACCTAAGGACCAAATAACTGCTAGAATGAAGGATTACAGCGGAAGGAGTTAACTGAGACGGCAGACGCTATTGTTGTAAGCAGCTGGGGCCGTTGCGGAGCAGGTCTCAACAAAGCGCATGCTTGTACGCGCCCTCCAAGATCGGACGCCTCGACTGACTGGCGTAAGCAAGAAAAACGAAGGAAATGTTCGCGTATCAGATTGGAATACGTGCTGTTCGTTTAAAGAGCGGAATGCATACCTCTCCCAGCTTCCGACATGTTTGCATCATTCTTACGCTGGGCTCGGGCAGCATCCAGCGTCTGGAAATGCAAGGCTTTTATTCTGCATCACACACAGAGAGAGTCAGCTGTAATTGCGATTCCATAGAGTCGTCATACAAAAGCACGCGGGAGTGAGTGCTTCAGTGGATGCGTATGAAAACAGTAGCCCGAAAGCTTACTGCGATACTAGCTGTTAAGCAGCTACACTGTTGCAATGCTAATATCGAGGACATTGGTTTGATTCCCTCAGCAAGACTACCACATTTTCAAAGACGCGAAGTGCAATAATGTTCGTGCAGTTGTAGGTTTTGATGGACGCTATAAGTTTGGAGTTCTCCATTACTCCGTACCTTTATGCATCTCCCGGTTTCAGCTTGTGAAACCACCAATACTGAATGCAAAGCGCTTATGCTACCTAGGTCGACACGCGGGAATTCTTATTGCAAATAACTTGGATTAGTCTTTCACATTACTACACAGATTAATGAAAATATCCGTGTTTACAATGGCACATTTTTGTCTGTGCCAAACGTCACATTCCAGGCCTTAAACATAGTACGGCTGTGTACCATGAAGTTAGCATTCGTAGAAATAAAATATGCATGCGTAGTCGTAGAATTACTTAGGGGCATGATGCGTCGTCATGTGATCTTCGTGAACTCGTTGTTTATTGACTTTCTTGCTCTGGGCCATACATATAGTGTGCGGCCACCAGCCAGTGCTTCAGTGATCAAATCAGTCAACCAATCAATTCATCAATTAAATACTCTATCAAGAGATCGATAACTCTTTCATTTATTGCTACATAAATACCGCATGCGTGTATTGACAGCTGCTATTCGTTAATAACTATAGAGCTGCATCATAATTCTCTAGTTAATGGGCCTATGAACGACAAATCAATCAAAAAAGTAATCAGTCATGCCTTTGATTCTTGGTTGCACGTGCATGTGCTGCATTTCAGGTGTTTACATTTCTGCTACTAAAGTGACAGGACTCGCTTACGAGAAGGGGAGGGGGGCACCATCATGTTGTGATGTAGGGGCAGGGCAGGCAGATGGGATTGAGTGTCATTTTAGGCTCTGTGTTATATCACTAAAAAAACGGGAGAAAACAGGGAGGCACGGGCCCGTTGTACAACCTTCTGGCTACACCACTGGGGACGGGTGGCCACCCTACAATTATCTTTTTTGTGACGCATGCATACCTTTGCGCCAAAACCTCGGCCCTGACGGGGCTCTTTGTCTTGGCTTCGTCGTAAATGAAGGGCGTCTTTGGCTCGGACACCTTCATCAGGCCGTAGTCCTTGTCTGGCGGGTGTAAAGTGCGCCTGATGCTTTCCTCGTTCCACTTGACGGACACGTTTGACGACACCGGAGAAGTCCTGAAATTTCGTAACGTGAAAAGCTTAGATGTCTCATCCAATTGGCACACTGACAGTCGACTCGAAGTGAAGTGATGCTAAAAGTCAAGTGTGCGTCATTATGACGTCATCATGTAACATGGTCACTTGGTTAAAGGTGATCTGAGTACGCAAGCGCTGCAAAAACACATCGGCTGCAGGAATGTTCAGGCGGTGGTGTGAGGGCGAGTACGTTTTACTCACAAGAAAAGCTTCGGTTCGTCAGCTCATTTTTGGTGCTGCAAAGTTGTTCCTGATGGCTCTCGGTCATCCATGGAAAAGTTAATGAATGACCATATGTGGCGTTCTGTCTTCAAAAACAGGCACATCGATGAACCAAAACTGGGCTAAAATTTACGTGATTCCAAGCTACCGACTGCGGTTACGGGGCCCGTCTACGCAGTATTGTCCTGCAAGTTAGGGGACTTGTACAGCAGTTTTTGACTTTTCAGTAGCCCCGCGTGTACGGATGGTACCAAAATAACGAGAGCCAGTGTGATCGCTGATGTCTGAAAATTAGTGACAGTCATTAATAGCTGTAGATGTTGCAGCCTGAACAAACAATACAAATGCTGCTCAGTTTTTCATTTTCCCATAACCACTCACCATCACACACACTACCATTCTCCCAGATTGCGAGTGCCACCGGTTAACAGGTATGAATTATAAATAACTAGGAAACAGCTGTGTGCAGAATTGTCTTGTCCAGTTTTTTTTTCTGTGTCCATGTTTTCACGTGCCTATAGCTTCTTTTATTGTATATCCCTATCTACTAGCTCGAATTTCAGTCATTCAAAATGTTAAGGGGCGTTTAAGTTGTTGTTGGTGCTCATCCGGCCAGTATAAGTGCCTATTTATGCAATATCTGCACAGCTGCCACAGCCGCATATCACGCGCCTGGACCCCTGCCCACACAAGGTGATGGTAGTGTTTAGAAGAGGGAGGAGGTGCCAGATTTGTGCGGCCCGGTAGGGAACACAGCGCAGTGCCTACGCAAGGAGAGTGCGGAAGAGCGTATCGCCGACGCCCTTTCGCTCTACACTTGCGTGCGGCATCTGTCCCGCCACGTGCGGTGCGGCTGTGTGGATAGTACAGTCCCTGACAATGAGGGTCAATCATGGGGCCATTGTAGCCGCTTGGCGACGCACCTGCGGCCTCAGCGGCAATGGCGCTAGTGGGCCCACCGGGGAGAACGTAAAAAGAGAGCCGCGGCTGCATTGTCTCGATGCGGCAGGCGTTACGCACTTTGAATGATAGCGGTGGGAACTTATTCATTTGCAGTATAATGTATTGCTGCACAGCTTGAAATGAGGGAAGCTCACACAAGGCTCCCCTGCAGGAGCCGCTTTGCGAGCCCGGTCACTCAGCTGTACTCAGCTGATCACCCAGACTCTCGCTATAATCAACCGCTCATCCTTTCGCTCCATAGTAGAACGTTCTCCAAAGCAATTGCCTTTCAAAAAAAGGGGGCGTTACTTGAAGCAACATCGAAAAGAGATAAATTTTTGCTTTGTTAGCGTGATTCGAACTGAGGTCGGACAGCAACAACGTGTCATGAATAGCGCTACGAGATCACAAGGGTGAGGCCGTCTAACAACCACTGCAGATACCAACATATTTCCTTTTAATAACACGAAAAATACAACTCGTTTGGTGAAGTAATGTCCTTGTGGATACATTATTAATTGAAAAAAAGTCACAGCTTTGCCGTGACGGTGAAGCAATGAACGCGACAGAAACAAATTAACCTTTTTCACGACAGGTACAGCGCCCTTAGTGGCGAGAGCCAAAAGCAAACTTGGTGGCTTTCCGGCCAACGCGACAACGTCTCAGTTTGCGCGTTCCTTTGCACCCGTCGCCTCCAAGATGGTGTGCCGACAAGTTTCGGAGGCCATGAGCCACCAAATTCGTTTCGGGGTGGCGCCGTTGAAGTATTTCCGGTGCTCATGCGCAGACGGCGCCCGTGAAAAAGGTCCATTGGAAGGTCACGCGCAGATGGCAAACAGATCGAAACGTGCCCCCCGTTTTTCACGCACAAATTATGCACGAAACGTATTCACAGGTTAAGATGAACACAAATAAGCGTCTCAGCTGTTACTTCGCTGTGTCTGAGAAGCGCACCCTTTTCGCAAGAGATGCTGTGCACGGATTGAAGTGACCTTTGTGCTCCCCGCCACTACAACAGAATTGTTCCAAGGCAATTAAGCCTAACGACAGCGGAGACGTATGACCCTCCCCACTTGGAGATAAAGGTGCGCGAGGGATGGCCCACTCCCCTCCTCTCCACGGGTCAAAGTACGCGTGAGAGGTTAGAGCCGCCGCGAACTCATTGCGCCATTTTGCTGATAATGCTGAAAACACGTCAATCTTGCCCCACACCCTCCCATGAGATGCCCGCCAACAGCGGCAAGTAGTAGATATTGATAGCTTGCAGTTTAAACAGCGAAGCAGGTACCCCTCGGTAGCTAAAAGGTTAACGCCTCGCATTTAGAGCACGGAGGCCCCAGGTTCGATTACGCGCACCGTGGTTTTAATTCTGGACTCTTTTTTTTTTCCTTCCTTGCGTTTTCATATACATCGATACGTATAAATATACGGTGCATGACATCGACACCGACGCCGGTGGCAAAATGCAGCCGAGAGTGTCCATATAATTGCTATCGCAAGAAAATGCAATGAACTGTGGACCGAACAGGATAGCAGCAAAGGACCTTTAGCTCCACTACTTATTAAACACCACGCCAAACGGCTATACTGCCCTAGCCGCCAACCACCACAAGTTTCACAGTTGCGGGCTCCCTCACTTTTACGATTACACTGCAGAGACGGGCCCCTCAATTTTACAATAATACTGGGCTGGCGGACACCCTTGACCGCAGTTGCTGCTTCGCGGTGATGGGGCCCGTGATGATAGTGGCATTATTATGACGGGCTTTCTTACTAATCTCAACTACGCTCCGTTTGCTGGAAACACTGGTCTAAAAAACAAAGATGGCTACACTTAACAGGGTCAACGTGGTACTTCCGCTACAGCACTCTCGTGTGCGATTGCGTTGCTTCATCTAAGGTGAAAGGCGCTGGCCGCGGATCGCTTCATTCTCATCAACATAAATGATTTCACAGGTAAAACAGCGAAAGTAGTTGCGCTGTCCTTACAATATTTGATCCTCTTCGACGAACCACATCAGATTTACTTCAAGTTGAAAATTATGTCCAGCGAGCCCATGGTTGAAGAAGGCAACGGCTGATGCTATAGCGGCCCTCTTTCTAAGGTGCAAGCATCTGTTCGCTACGTTAATTGCTGCATTTTTACAGGCAACTACGGCCTAAGCAGTTTTCGAGGTAACTCTGCAGTGCGACTCGTGCTGCCGATGGCGCGTATCTCATTGAGTTCCGTTGTCCCTTCAAGAGGTCAATACGCATGCCGTTCACTTGACTACAAAGTAAAGATATGCCGGGGTCATTGTATCTTGAGATAAGGCAAATTGAAGTTTCGATTGCAGTACTGGGTGTGCCTCTTTCTTTTCGTTCGCCAGTTGCTTTTGTTAGGTTTTTAGGTTTTTAATAAATAAGGTCGTGTGCATGAGAGCACTCGCTAGTGCACCCTAAAAGAACGTCAGATGGTCGAAATATCCGGAGCCCTCCTCTATGGCGTCTCTCATAATCATATGGTGGGTTTGGGACGTTAAACCCCACATATAGATCAATTAATTACTCAATAAATGGAGGAATCACTCACTCACTAATCAATCAATCAATCAATCGGTCAATCAATCAAGCAACTGACAACACTCGCTTGTTTGTGTGGCGAGTACTTTATAGCCAAAACTAATAAAAGCACGCACACTTCGCACGCTACGGACGCACAAGTATATACATACACGCACACTATGCACGCTCGAACTTGAGTAGAAGGTGGTTAAACCCTACCCTGCATCTCTAAAATGTCAGCCCCATGATCTTCGTTAAAATATATATCAATATAAGCAACTGATAAGTAATCAAAGTAGACTAATTTTTATTTCCCACGTTTGGTTTCCTGGAATCAGTAATCGCTCATTCAGTGGAATGATGATAAATGCACGACTCGGAGACAAGCCTGTTCCAACAATAGTTGTGCTGCAATGTGCCGGAAAGGAACCAAGCAATGCGCCCATAGGTCGAATGCTCTGAAAGCTGGAACAATCACCTTTTGCAGCTCCTCGCAAATTTCTGCTGAACTGACGTACCTAGCTTGTCAACGCTCCGAGTTTGGTGAGGACGCAGCACCGTCTGTAGGCGCCACAGAGCAAACGCAGGCATAAACACCGCGCACTTGCCCATAGTAAATGTATCTCAGGTTTCGCCACTACAGTTCACAGATAAGCGTACGCCGGTGACAGGGACGTAGCGAGAAACTATTGTCGGTGCTTTGTGTATATTCGCCCGTGCGTTTGGGCACTTTATATGCGCACATGAGAAATAGAATTTCGGAGCGAAGGACTAAAGCAGCCTAATTTAGAATGGGTAGCACTAAGACTTGCGCGAAAGTGAAGCATACTCGTAAAATACACACCCACATAAGGCAACAAATTTCGTAATCCACTTGCAAAACGAAACTATAGGACGTGCTTAGAGATGCCTGAGTATTAAGAAACACACCGCTCTTAATGGTGTACTCATCGGGAAGAATGAAATCGTGGTGAGTGAATTGATTAGAACAACCACTATTGTGGGCGTCACCTTCCATTCCTTGAATGAGTTTCTTATATTCACATTTTTTTTCGTGCGCCGTCTGCGTTCTTCGAAAAGTGCAAGGGGAGTGATAGAATCATACGTCGCCATCTTTCCACACCGACGCCATGCATAGCGACACACGGCAACGGTTTTTAGACGTCACTTGCTCCTTTTTGGGGCTCACGCATGTAGCATGGCTAAAATAAAGAATTAACTATGCGGTCGCTTCTGAACGCGCATAACATGGCGACATATCTCCTTTCAAGGTTTACCCTGTTAGCGCCGTTTTCTGGCACGGCCGCTTGGTTGCGACAGCTCAGTTGGAATAGCAAAGTTTGATTGCACTGCGGTAACGGGCTGCTCACTTTACGATGTGAACCACCAGCTAACAGACCAGGTACTGGCATCTCGTATCCTGCTTACATCTCGTCCGCTTACGTTGCCGACAACTTAGCTGATATTTTAACGTCGCCGCACCCGAGGCATCCCTACGACACTTCGAAGGCAGCTATCATTTCCCGAAAGTCTGAATTCGAACACAGCAGACTCCAACAGCTCATCACAGCTCCTGCGACGCATGCGTCAGCTTCTTGGCGGCCCCTCCGCGCCGCAAAAGGAGAAGCTGTTACGTGAGTTGTTCCTCCAGCGCTTACCGCAGAGCTTGGTCCCGGTCCTCGCTAGCTGCAGGAGATGTCCCAGTAGACACACTCGCTGAAATGTCTGACCGAGTGGCGGACTACTCGCGGGCACATAGACTTTACGCCGTCACCACACCGCCAGCGGCCACCGCTGCAGACCCGGCACTCGCGAGCATACAGGGACGCCCTTGTCAGGCGCCTCGATGACTTTGTACTTGCGCATCGTCGACCGGTCATCCAGGTTCCAAAATACACAGTCGCTCCTCGACGCCCCCACGTTCTCCGAACTTCAGCCAAACGACGGGCCGCGGGGCGTCTCATCGTCAACCGTGTGCTGGTACCACCGCCGATCCGCTACCTCTGCTCGCAAGTGCACTCGCCCGTGCTCTTGGTCGGGAAATACGACGACCGGCCGTGGACGGTAGCAGGTGGTACTGGTCGAAAATCATGCCGCCTTTTCTCTGTTTCTGATAAGACCACTGGCGCTCACTTCCTAGTCGACACAGAATCCCAGGTTAGCGTCATCCCGGCCACGTGAGCAGATCGCCGTCGCAACGAACAGACCTGCCCACTCCAAGCGATCAATAATTGCGCCATTCGCACATACGGCCAACGCTCCTTTGCACTTGACCTTGGACCACTGACCTGTGCGTTCCCCTAGATTTTTATCATCATTGACGTCTCGCAAGCTGTTCTTGTAGCTGACTTCCTCAGTTTTTTCAACCTTACTGTGGACATGCATGCTCATCGCCTCATTGATCCCAACACGCACCTCTCCATCAACGGTGTACTCTGTACTTCATCGCCAACGGGACTGTGAGGTCTCACACCTGCTTCGCCATATGCAAAAATACTCGCTGACTT